AGCTTTGTTTTGGATGACATTAGAATATTCAATTGTTATTATTACTAAATTGATCCATGGTCACATTTTATTGAGCATTTTAGACCGCTATATAATCTATATATATAATTCTCCTCTGCAAGCCATTAGAAAACAAGCTGCAAGCGCCTCCTTACAGTCCCCTCTCTTTCTCTCTATCACTATCACTACCACCCTACCCCACCCCCCACATGGTCTGCTGAGCTGTGGTCACGTTAATGTTTACAAACCGTACAGCCAGGTTTAGTGACGGCTATTAGGGGCAGATAATTTAGTTTGAACCGACTTTAAACTTACAGGAGGTAACTAAGAGGAGGCTGCTTTCACGGGGGTGGGGGGGGGGGGGGGTGTAGGGTCGGGGTTAGGGGAAAGGAGGGGGGTTAGTGTTTTAAAGCAAATATTTTCAGTGGCAGCATTGGTACTGTCGAATTCACAAATTATGAATTACTGAAAAGTAGAAAATAAATCAACTAAATAGCGGCGTATGATACGCCGCGGGTCGGCTCGTTGTAGTAAAAACGTGGGGAAAAAGGGACATAACCCAGTAACTGTAATTTGTGTACAAACAAACGTAACAACTGGTGGCCAGTATGTGTTCTAGTCAGTAACGTATTCACACAACGTGTTTTTTTACCAGTTGTCTTTTTACGAGTTGTCTTTTTACGAGTTGTCTTCGTTTACCCAAAAAAAAGTGAAAAGATAAAATCGATAGCAAGATTTTAATGCAAACAAACAGACAAAGACTAAAAAGTAGAAAATAATAATCATTAAAAAAGTTTTAAAAAACCCACGTTTTCTGATTGAACTAAAAAGTAGAAAATAAATGCTATACATCACAATAACGCAAGCGATCAAAAACGTGGGGCGCCGTGATTTTCTTACAGTTTCTAATACTGTTGACTCTCTACAAGCTCCCTAATAAAAGTCGATAGTATTATCTAATCAATAGTAATATAACTTTTACTTCGGCGCCCCACGTTTTTCATCGCTTATAGTAGAGTGATCGCTTGCATTATTGTGATGTATAGCATTTATTTTCTACTTTTTAGTTCAATCAGAAAACGTGGGTTTTTTTAAACTTTTTTAACGATTATTATTTTCCGCCTACTGAATCTACAAATTCTAGCTCATAACGAGAAATTAAAAATTAACCCAACGAAAATAAAATGTAATAATCCGGGAGTGATATCCCCTAAACTTTCTCGAACATTCTTATATAACGTCGAGATTTGAATGAGTCTCGATTGTTGTTTTTTTTTCACGATTACGTCATAATCGAGAAAGAAAGAATACGGAATAGTGGTAACACCCAAATACAACGCAACCATTAAATATAATGAAGCAAGTGATTAAATATGACATTTTATTTTTTAAGCTGTTAATGGTTAAGCTTTTAAAATGAACTCAAATAGTAAATGCCAATTCTATTTGTTTTTAAAAATTGAGCATATATTGATGTAGCTTTATAATACTCATGTTTATAAATATAGTAAACAATGAGTTGTTTTATTAAATCTTGTTATTTAAATATTTCTATCTACATTGACGTATTTAGTAATAGTGATAATTGTTATATCCCATGTTTGTTTAAAAAATGTTGATTGTTTAAGATGGGAAGTAACTCGCATCAAAAGAGTAAATACAAAATAATTGTCAACATTTTAAACATAATTAATACTGACAAAGAGCCACTATTGTATTTTTTTTAACAAAGTGTAATCCTGATGATAAATTCTTCAAAATTCAAAATTCATGAAATTGTACACACGAAATTGATTTTTACAATTACACGTCGAGATTTATAAAAATCCTGATTTTTTTTTTACCTTCTCGTATAGAGGAAGTATAAAAATCTTGATTTTTTTACTTTCTCGTATAGTGGAAGTATAGAGAAAGTCTTGTGATCGTGCAAAAAAAAAAATAGATTAAAAATATCATAAAAAATGTTTTAATAACAAGCTTTTATGTCATAATACACTGAAGAAAATAAATGATAGACTACTATTAAAAAACTATAAAGAAATGCGTGGGTCACTTTAGTATCTATTGGATACCCTTACTAATATTTAGTCCGCATTCGACTTTTATATAGAGAAAAATCGCACCCTCTCGAGCTTGAGAAATTAAAAAAAGATTTTTTTTTTTTGCAAAACCCTTCCCTGGAGTGTTCTAATCAACTCCCCAATGTTTCATGGCAATCGAATGAACGGTGTCACTGCAGCTCAATTTTATTTTTTGTATATACAGTATATAGAGAAAAATCGCACCCTCCCGCATATAAAGAAAAAAACAAATTTGCGCCCTGCCGGGGCGCCACCCCTGTGAATTTGAATTAGAAACCTCTACAAAAATATTCACAACAACTTCCCAAAGTTTGACGGCGATGTGATGAGAGGTGTAGTAATGCGTAAAAGACAAACACACAGACATACATTTCTTTGTATATAGATAATATATAGATAGATAGTTACATGACTAAAAACCATTGCGCACCTATTGACCGTGATGACGCGTGTATAATAGTGTGGAGTAGTTGGATAAGAGTGCCTACTAATTTGGTCAAAATTTTCATTAATTCATAAAAAATTAATTATGCATCCAATTTAGTCAAATTTAATGTCATGTCGTATTGTCTTCGTGTCTTGACCCACGTACCAACTACGAACTGTATCTGTCAGTTAGAAGTGCCTGCAATTTCGCTCGGGCGTTTCGATCTAGACAGACTGACGACTGACTTCAGACTGACGAGGAAGTGAGTTAAATAAAAGCTTGTAATCATGTCTATATCCCGAGTTGCCATCCCCTGTTGTTTTATATAAGAATATTCGAGGAAGTTTAGGGGAGATCACTCCTGGTTTATTTTTTTGCACGATTACAATACTTTCTCTATACTCCGTATACGAGAAAGTAAAAAAGCGACGCGCCAAATATTGTGTTTATTCCCTTACACTCTAATCCTTTGTTTTACTTATTTTAGCCCACTCTAGTCGATACAAATATTGGACCCCCTTACTTAGTTAAGCGAGACTTTCAGAGAAATGTATCGTTTTTAGTTTTAATTAAAATCCATTTTTTTAAATCTATTCCAAGCACTGCCCGATATATGACATACACTTATAACTGACTTCGATAAAAATGGAAAGTTGATGTGAAACAGTACATGGTGAAAACAAAATAAATAAATTGGCAATTATTCTAGTAATTTGGATTATTTTATTTATCGTAAACACCAACCTATATACGTCAGCGGAAATTCAAACACAACTTTAGTAAACAAAAATACTCACAAAAATAAACGAAAATAACCAGAATAATCGAAAATAATTCTGCATATGGACGGAACTACGTAGGAATGTTACTAAAAATAGCGCCGATATTTACCAATAAAAAAGAGCTCGGCCCAACCGTAAACAGACCGGGTCACGTGATCGGCATAGATTTACCAAATTTAGTAACGATCTAGAAAGTTCCAGAACTTCCTGGACCAAATACGAGACGACATAGCCGCCTCCGTATTCAAATAAATCCGGTCAATTCAGTTATTAAAAAAAATTGTGTTCGAAAATAGAACACTGCCCTCGCGAATAAAAATCGAAGGGTATACACGTTCATGTAGGTTAATCGAAATTCTCAATTAGTTAAAATTTAGGATCCAAGAAAGCAGATATTTTTAAAAACCCACAGATGTGCACTTTGTAACCCTGATTAGACTACAAGTACCTATAGGTCGGCCAAGTCAATATTAAAGATACATTAATCGCTATGTAGAGTAGCTGTGACGTACTGTCTACTGCGGAACAGTTGCCTTGGCAACGTACACGTAAACATAATGACGTCGTGCCCTTCAAAGGCTTCCTTTGTCCATATCTTTAGGTGAAAAATAAGATTTGCAAAAATTCACCTTGAAGAATTGTTAAAATTGAAAAATACTGAGTAAATTTAGTACGTTAGGCATACTATGACTTCAAAAGAAACTGAAATTACTATAAAAAGACTTGGTAGAAGGCTTCAATATTTTTAATAAAATAAAAACTGAAAGTGTAAAACTACCCTATCATTAATGTATTGAAATACCCATGTATGCATAGGTATGTACCATTGATCGAAAATACACCCAAAGGTATTTGTATATGCCTATTCCACAATACTAAGATTTCAATTATTTTAATCTACACATGTCCATGCAGCAACATATGATTATTGTTAGACCAAATGATGTTATCCCTTAAGGACAAAACTTTTAGAATTTTGTTTTAAAAATAAAGTCGGCACTTTGATACTCAATTTGACACAACCGTGTTTTTTTTTAATTGTGTGCAGAGTTTTCTCCCTGTACTTGAGTTACTTCCCTTCCGACAGAGTTACTGCCGCTGTTGTTAAATAAATTGCCAATGTCGCAATGTTTCAGTCGTGTTGTTTATAGGTTGCATGGAACTTTTCTGTGGATCTTGGTGTGGTGTATAGAACTAATCTGTTGATGTTGGTGTGATGTAGAGAACTTATCTGTTGAAAGTTGATCGATAACTGATATTATCTGTTGATGTTTGATAGAGAACTTATCTCATCTGTTGATGTTTGTGTGTGTTGATCGAGAACCTTCCTTATCTGTTGATGTTTTATGTGTTGTCTAGAAATTATCTGTTGATGGTTCGTCAAGGACTTATCTCATCTGTTGCAGTGTTTCTTCCAGACATCTCTTCGGGGGGAGGGGGGGGGGAAGGGCGGTGCTCCCCCGAAGAAAGTCCACCGCCCCCCCCACCTGAACGAAATGGAATTTATATAGTAAACATATACTTTTACCAGTGTCCGTCCCCCCCCCCCCCCCCCTCCCCCGGAAATGTTGACCGTCCCCCCCACCCCCCAAAGAAATTATCAAGCACATCCCCGGAGAAAAAAGTCTGGTTGTGAACGTATCTCATCTGCTGGTCGAGAACTTATTTCATCTATTGATCCAGAACTTATCTATTGGTCCAGAACTTATCTCATCTGTTGGTCCAGAACTTATCTATTGGTCCAGAACTTATCTCATCTGTTGGTCCAGAACTTATCTCATCTGTTGGTCTAGAACTTATCTCATCTGTTGGTCCAGAACTTATCTCATCTGTTGGTCTAGAACTTATCTCATCTGTTGGTCTAGAACTTATCTCATCTGTTTGTCGAGAACTTATCTCATCTGTTGGTCTAGAACTTATCTCATCTGTCGGTCTAGAACTTATCTCATCTATTGGTCTAGAACTTATCTCATCTGTTGGTCTAGAACTTATCTCATCTGTTGGTCTAAAACTTATCTCACCAGTTGGTCTAGAACTTATCTCATCTTTCGGTCTAGAACTTCTCTCATCTGTTGGCCTAGAACTTATCTCACCAGTTGGTCCAGAATTTATCTCATCAGTTGGTCTAGAACTTATCTCATCTGTTGGTCTAGAACTTCTCTCATCTGTTGGTCTAGAACTTCTCTCATCAGTTGGTCTAGAACTTCTCTCATCTGTTGGTCTAGAACTTATCTCACCAGTTGGTCTAGAATTTATCTCATCAGTTGGTCTAGAACTTCTCTCATCTGTTGGTCTAGAACTTATCTTATCTGTTGGTCAAGAACTTATCTGTTGATGGAGAACTTATCTCATCTGTTGGTCTAGAACATGGGTTCCCAACCTGGGGGTCGCGACCCCCAAGGGGGTCGCGAAGGGCTTTCTGGGGGGTCGCCAACTGGTAGACTAAACTCTAGCAATGAATAAAAAACATAAATATTTAGAAAAATATTTGAAATTTGGCATTACTAACATCACTGGAAATGGAATAGAGAATAAACAATTTGTACTGTGCAAAGTTGTTCTTACTGAGGAGTCTATGAAAACTTCCAAACGTCAATTTGAGACGAGTCATTCGGAACACACCAAAAAAGATATGTAGTTCTTTCGTCGGCAAGAAGCTAATTGCAAACGTCAGAGACTTGATAGAACAGAACGTTTTCACCAAGAAAACACAGCATTAGGGCAAGCATCATATGAAGTTGTATTAGAAATTGCCAAGCAAAAAACCTCTCACACAAAGGAAAAAAATCTCATCAAACCATGTATGCTGAAGATGGTAATATTAATTCTTGGGGATTCCAGTGCAGTAAAGATGCAACAAATATCTCTGTCTAATAATACTATGCAGCGGCTTATGTTAAAAGACAAATTTAGAATGAAATCAAGCTTTCACCATTGCTTGATTTTCAAGTTGACGAATCGACAGACGTGAGTTCGTGTTCGCAGTTGCTTGTCTTTGTGAAATATATTCATTCGGATGTTAGCAAATAAGAGTTGATGTTTTGTGAAGATATCATGGAGAAAATAAATACGTTTTTTGAAACTGGAGGATTAAAAATCTGGGAAAACGGCTGTGGGGCTTGTACGGATGGTGCGTCGTGTTTCAGTACGCTGGCTGTCAATAGTAAATGTCAATCGTGTTTTTGAATTGAAAGATGAAATCAAGATGTTCTTGGAAGTGCAAGGAAACAAGACCTTTTGATATACTTTAACGACATGGTGTGGTTGGAGAGAGTATCATACCTAGCAGATATATTCGAACATCAACATAAGCTTAACCTGATAAAGGAACGAATATTATTTCTCTTTTCATGATAATCTATTGGCATTTTTATCAAAGCTGCAAAATTGGCGAGGAAAAATAAATATTTGAAATACTGCTATGTTTGAGAAAATCTGCAGTGTGGTGTGATAGATAAAAATTTTAAAGGATTCTGTGCATCTTGAATTTCTTGACAACGAACTGCTGCGTTATTTTCCCCGAGCTGAAAGAAGAAGAATCTGCATTGTCACCCATTCTCTGCTTTCCTTGATGTTACCAGTATTGCCGATGAATAACAAGATGAATTCTTTAAATTTGCAAAATTTAATTGTTAATGCTAGTTAATGCTTGTTAATAGCATGTAATTTTGCTCATCGTATTAAAACAGTTATCAAGAATAATTCATACTGAATGTCTACTAAGCCTACTACTAGAAAATACTAATTTAGTGCTTATTATTTTCTTTACTAATTTCGACTTGTTAATTATATGGGGGTCGCGGGTCACTTACGTTTTATAAAAAGGGGTCGCCACTCGAAAAAGGTTGGGAACCACTGGTCTAGAACGTATCTCATCTGTTGGTCTAGAACTTATCTCATCTGTTGGTCGAGAACTTATCTCATCTGTTGGTCTAGAACGTATCTCATATGTTGGTCTAGAACTTATCCCATCTGTTGGTCTAGAACTTATCTCATCTGTTAGAGAACTTATCTCATCAGTTGGTCAAGAACTTATCTCATCTGTTGATGTTTGTGTTGTCGAGAAACCAACCATAACTCATCACAGAGGCTGTTATTAGTGTTGTTATCCCGCTAATTAAGGGTTCGTCGTCCTGTGGTTAGACGCAACACAAATCCATTTTCGACCGTCTTGGCTCCGAGGGTACCCAATTAAATTGTCAAATTGGGGCGCGGCGATGGTGTCACAACGGTGTGTGTTAGCTTGCGGTGTCAGGTTGTTTGGGGGGGGGGGGCAAAAAAATGGAATTTAAATACTATTTTAAGAAACGGTCTGGTTGCTATATGGAATATTTTGTAAAAAAAAAAAAAAAAAAAAAAAAAAAAAAAAAAAAAAAAAAAAAAAACTAAAGCAAATTTTTAAAAATTAGAATTTGTATGACAATATTTTTCAAACAAGTTGTGGTTTTTTTTTTAGGTGTTACTCGCTTTTATATAAATTGCTTCCCTTGCCTTCATTTCTGTGATTTTACCGTCAACGTTTCACTTAGAGCAAACACACACGTCTTTATACTTTTTAAATTAATTTTTGCTGATTTATATTATATTAAATCTTGTTAATACTAATTATTTTTAAACATAATTTCCACTAATAATTGTACTTAAAACATTTTTTTCCATTATTGGATTTTTCACTTTTCTGCAGATTTAGGGTATTTCTGTATGCGCATGTGCACCGCGAAATTAATTATGTCCGTCTTACAAGGCTAGACAATACACGATCGCTCGGTATCGCTAGTGAGTCAAATGTTCTAAAATGTATGCCGAAAAAAAATTCAATTTATTTATAGCTTAAATCAAACGTATTATCCTTAGTATCCGTTACACTTTGATACAATAATATCTAAAAGAGAAAATGAAGAAAACATGTTAGGAATTTATTTAAAAAAAAGAAAAAGCTATTTTCGGTTAAAAAGATTCCAGGCGTTTTACTGAAATCTATAAAAAGAAGCAACGGTTTATTTTTGGGCGATAGATTTGAGACTTCGATCTTACACTGTCTGCTTCTAGTTCTGCCCAGTGCAACATGATTAACTCAATTCTGTAAAGTATCGAGAGAGGGTTTAATATTCACTATGACTATAGAATATAGGAGAGGCGTCGCGAGGCGGGGGATGCGGACCCCACCGGCTGACACCATGTAGGGAGGGGGGGTGACACCAAGACAAAAATGCAAGATATATAGAATAAATATTTTTTGCCAGTTCAATGAAAGGTTAACTATAGTTAAAAATGTTTTAAAGTAAATAAAGACGGTCCTGACAATGTGTGTGTGTGGGGGGGGGGGGGTGACACCATTACGTAAACATGCAAACTATAGAGGAAACAATGCTACATCTAGCTGTATTTACAACTGACTACAGATAAACATCGCTATTATTAAATGTGAACACTTTAAAGGATGGAGTTGGGGGGGGGGGGGGAGGTGACACCGTGGGGTGCCGCACCGGGTGACATTCGACCTAGCGATGCCACTGGAATGTATTGTGATCTTGCATTTTTAGTAACAAAAAAATGTTATACAATAATTCTTGGAGTATTTATATTATTTAAGTAACTTTATATAAACAATCATAAATTTGTGAATACAATTTTAAAATGTTTGTTAAAAAATGTGAACTTTACAGAAAGATAAAACACTTTGACGTGTAGTCTATTTTTTAGAATTTAATTTAAATTGACAACATTTTTACACTCATTTTTTTTCTTTCTCTAGAGTTTTAATTATCAAAAGTAGCTTTTATTTTTACACAGTTACATTTTCAGCCAAGGGGTATTTCAAGAGAAATTTTAAGCTAATCGCAATCTGCCAGATCTAACGCTATCAAAGCGCTTCCCCGCCTCTCAATGTCGGGTAATAGGATAGGCTTGTAGGCGGGCATCAACAACTGGCACTGCTCTTTTAGTGGGGGGAGGGGGGGGGTAGAGACTGTGTGGGAGGATGTGTGGGAAGGGATGCGAATGCATGTGTTGTGGGCTGAGGTTTTGATAGATAAGAGAGAAGCAAAAATAAAAATAATCAACCTGCATAAAAATAATTTTTCTATTCCATAACAGGAAAATAAATAAAAAAAATAATTTGTCATTGAAATAACACATTGCTCAATCTGTTAAAAATGTCTAATAATTTGAAGGCACCCCGGCTGCTTCATTGTGGGGGTGGGGGAGGCAGTGGCGTAGCGAGGTCGGGTGTCACCCGGTGCGGCACTTAATTCGATTTTCACCCCCCTCAAACTTTCGATTTGCACCCCCCCCCCCTTTTTTTCAAGTTTTTCTCTATATATTTTGATATTTTTTGCCTTGGTGTCACCCCCCCCCAAATGGTGTCACCCGTTGCGGTCCGCACCCCCCGCACCCCCCCCCCCCCTCGCTACGCCACTGGGGGGAGGGATGCTTCACTCATTTCCATTGTTCGGATACATAAAAAACTTTTTTTCTGCAACATAGGATAATACATTACACAATTAGAACTATTACAATGAATATGAAAACCGGCAAAGTTCTAGAACCATTTTATCAATAGCTCTAGGAATATCTTTCTCCACTTTAACGTTTTGTCTTGTTTGTAGGCAGAATTTTAGTTGTTTAACCTGACCAGCTATTTTTGCTTAAACTCTGAGTAAGTGTTTGATCAAGTCGTATCTTTTAAGCTCAAAGTTAATTTTGGTCTAGCTGCTTCGTTTAAGCTCAGTGGCCAAGTTGGTGTTCTGTAGTCCTTGGGTGGTCAAGTTATATCGCTGCAGCTAAATCTCATTATATGTGACTCGCACTATACCTGCAGCTAAACCTCATGCTAAACTTCGTGGTATGGTACGCACAATAGCTAGAACTTAAGCTCATAAGTTATGCCTCGCATTATAGCTGCAGCTAAACCCCATTGGGTAGTTACGTTATACCTGCAGCATAAACCATTAGGGCAAGAGTCGAATACCTGAACTAGTAAAAGCATACCAATTTTAACTGAATGACATGTGAGAAACCTATGTCTGCCTCCTTCCAGTTGTCGATACCTAGTCTTGATAGCATGACGCCTGGACTGTAAGATTAATTAAGGACAGCTGGTGCGTTTTGATGTGCACCGCATGGTTTAAAATTTTAATTAAAATCATGTTCATCATTTCAGAATTTTTTAACCGCTGAAAGATGTTGAGATGCGATAGTACAATTCGTGTTGTAGATTCTCATAACGGAGTGGTTTTTCTAACAAGATATATACATTCATAAAATAACTCCTTGCTCTAAAGTTGTATAATGGTCAATTGTTTTCTCGCTAATAACAATGTCCTAAGCTAGTTCTCCATTCTGTGTTATTATTATTATAAAAGTATCTACATAACTTGGATAAAATTTAAAAACTGAACTTTCCTTAATTGCATAATCTAGCATATCATATTTTTTTCCCGTTTGTGCCAAAGACTCATGAGGTAGATGAAGTAGAGTTCATCTGTTTCAGGGACCTCGGCAAATGAAGGATTATTGTCGTCAGTACCATACCCAGCCGCTTTTGCTTGCCAAAAATGGATGGTCCCAGGGACGTTGTACTGACTTGAAGCTAGTTTTGTTATTGAAATT